AAGTTGATGGAGCTGGCTGAGATGGCAAAATTGACAGCTTTGATTAGAGAAAAGACATTGTCTAATTTTAATGTTAACTAGAAGCCCCTTTTGAACTTTTTGCGGGAAACAAAAAAATGAAATTATGGTTTATGGATTTGATGATTAGTAACATTAATAGATTATAGAAAAAATGAATGTTAAATTGTAATCTTAGAGTAAGAGTTTAATGCATATTTTACTTATATCTGCTGTAAAAGAAGTTGGGAGTCTTTCTTTTTTTTGTATTTCTGTTTCTTTTTTCCCCACACTTTTGCTTTCTTCCTTTCTCTGTATTTTCTTTTCTTTCTTCTATTCTTTTTCTTGATTATTAGTTCTTGTAAGTTTTTAATCTTTGTTTTTTAAAATTTAATAAAGTTATCTTTAAAAAAGAAGAATTTGGCTTAACAAATCAAATGCTTTTTATAATTATTATCTGGCAAATATCCTTTTTAAAAAAGATCTGAGAAAACCTTCTATAAAAATGTTACTTACTTTGCCCTGGGAAGAAAGCAAGTGCATAACAGGAGATTCTTTAAAAGTCTCTCAGTGACAACTGAACTGTTTACTTGCCTTCTTTCTTCTTCTCCTCTTCTTTTTTTCTTTGGCAGCTTGTGCTTGCTTGTGTTCCCATACCAGATTTGTCAGGTTGGCCACATATTCATCAGTTTGCTGCAGCAGATAGGCTAAACGTCTGTCTTTTTTCTGATCAATAAGTTTACGGTAGCCTTCTTCATCTTCAGCCTAGTGTTACAAGTAAATGAAAATTCAAGTAATATCATTGCTCACTGCCTGGCCTTCACAGAAGAGTTCAAAGGGTAGCGAGCACTTTAAATGTTTTGGTTGTAGAAAATGCAGCTACAATCAGTTCTACAAATCAGACTGCAATTCCTAATCTAGGGGTGACATATCAATTAATCACTTTATTGTTATTTAAAGCATACAAAATGGTGATGATTCTGGAAGCACCAGTGGAAAAGCTAGTGAGACATTTATTTTCTACTGCTCTTTAGAGCAGAAATGGGTGATGCGAGGGCATCCAAATGTTGTATGAACTTCAACTCCCACTGGGATTTGCAGTTCAATAATATCTGGAGAGAATAAATATACTGGGTAAAACTGTCAATATACTTCTTTCCCTCACGTGTGTGGATTTTACAGTAAACGCTCTTGGAAAATCTTGATTTCAGCTGAAAATTACATTAAACACATGTCATTGACATCAATGACATTCTAAATGTTTACTGTGATAAAAAGACTTGTTTAGATATTCTACTCAATTTCAAATCATGCCTGGAATAGCAAATTCCAGTTATATAGCAAATAACGGAAACATTTAAACTTTAGTATGATTCAAATATATCTGAAAGGAAGGAAAATGATATAAAGAATTTGAAAGAAAGGCTATGGTATGGCAAAAGATTTCTACTGCACAATTGTCAATCTCTAAAAATGAATGATTATATAAAATATCAGATTACCACCTCAGTATCTTTGGGCACTAGGTTCAAATGACTGTATAACAAACATTTCATGGTTTTCTTTCTTCATGTAATCCAAGATAAAAATGGAAATGTGGGGGGAGGGGACACAGGATCCCACTAACAAAGTTGCTCCTGGGGTGCATTCCCTTGAAGATTTCTTTGATAGCTTGAAGGCACCAGAATACTTTTTTATTGCCAGGCTTTTTCAAGCAATGTTGGAATTGTCATAAACTTCTGCTCCTACATTCATTTTATTCTTTTGAGGTATGCTATCTTCCACAAAAATTAACCTGCCTCTAAATCCAGGTATATCACCTGCCTGACTCCTGTAATTTGACTGAATATTTTAAGGAATTCCAAATTCCACTTTTCCTTGAAGCTTCTCCTCTGATCACCAAAATAGGTCTATTTTGCCAGTCTCCATGGTTGGTTTTACTAAGCATCACCTTACCATCAGCCTTCTCATTCGCTCTTTCTCAATCCTCTCTGTTTCTTTCTTCTGTTCGCGTTCTGTGTTGGCGTGCCAAGTAGCCACAGCTTTGGAAAGTTTCTGAATTTTTCCAGCCACTGATCGATGGTATTCTTTAAAATCTTTAGCATGCTGTAAAATGCTATTGAGATACTCCTATTAAAACAATAGTAAGAACTGTTAACTGAGAGTAGGGAACCAACAAACTTAGCAAAATCACTGAACTCAAGCACCTGAAACCTATGTTCTTTTACTCAATGCAAAACAGTAGCAGGTACTAAGTGGCACTCTACATGGACTGAAATTCCCATCAGTCCTTAATATCAGCCATACTGATTAGGTCTGATAGGATTTGGAGTACTATACTGTTTCTGATCTTGAAAATTTAAAGGCAAGTGGCCACATATGATCCCTCAGAAATATGCTGCTGATTGTACTCCAAACATTAGTGAAGACAGGACTAACAAAAAGGTGGGGGAACTAAAACTAAATTTACCTTAATTGTATTAAACTCAATTAATATGATTACAACTCATGTATTTAATAATACCCTTTTAGTTTTAGCAACGTATTTTGGAAGAGATTTGAAGGCTTGGGGTTGCATATATAATCTTGAGGATGCATGCTCCAAAAACTGGCAAATTTAGGTAGACATTAAGCTAGGATGGATACTCAGACACATGAAGACTAAATATACATGTCTACTCAAAAGAAAGTCGCCTGAGTACAGCACTGCTGTTTAAATAAATCTAGAATAACTGTTGAATTGCCTATAATTGCCTATTGAAAGCTCACTGTAGTTTGTATTTTAACAGGACTGTCAAAGACAACAGCCTGCTATTCAATCCACTGCAGAGAGCCAGTTTGGTTCAATGGTTAAAGGCAGTGGGCTAGAAACTGAGAGACTGTGAATTACAGTCCTGCCTTAGGCATGAAGCCAGGTGGGTGACTTTTGGGCCAGTCCCTCTCTCTCAACCCTAGGATGCAGGCAATGGCAAATCACTTCCAAAAATCTTGCCATGAAAACTGCAGGGACTCATCCAGGCAGTTTCCAGAAGTCAAGACTGACTTGAAGAACTATGCATACATATGCATATGTGTACATACATATTGGGAGGCGAAACCTAGCTCATAGCAATCTTTAGCTTTTTGATGCAGTCTTTTAGAATTACCATATTTAGTTTGCAAAAATCCAGGTAACCATTACAGGCCAGCAAAGATACAGAAAAGTCCAATTCTTTTCTGCCATTTAGTGGTCACTGGGATTTTTGTAGCCCAGATATGTCAGCCTTACCCCAACCTTTCTTCCTTATTTTCCTGCTTCTTTTGACTTATAGTTATTCCAGCAGCTGCCAGTTTCTTGAAAGCTGAGACACTATAGATTTTCCTTACTGCAGAAGCTAAAGTATCTGACCCTCTGGCTTCTATTCTGAGCAGATTCTACAGTAACTGTTTCTGGGGAGGAACAGGGCTTTTCAAAAAATTAGTCTCTTTCTTTAAGGGCCAGTAGCTTTTGAACCTTTTCAGTACAAAAGTTAGAAGCTGTGATATTCTGCAGTTGGATTCCATAGTTCCTGGGGAGTGCAGAAAGAACCTCTTTCACATAATTAATAGGTTGTAACCATGGTGAGGAGGGGTCTTCTCTTTGGTGGGGCAGGGAAGAGGCTTTTGGTGGATGCGAATATATCTACATATGTGGCCCAGACCTACCAGCCAGCACTCCCTGCAACTGTTTGGGCTCAGAGCTTATCCACCCTGGTGAGTATCTGAACCTACATTCTCTAAAGATCTAAACCTGCATCCAAGGAAGTGGTTTCTAAACCAGCTAAAAACATAAGAGCTACTTTTTGGTCATCCTTTCTGGAATTCTAATTCTTAATGATGGTCTCAAAGTTCAATTCAAACATAACATATCTAAAATACAGAAAATGAAATCTCCCTGTTGAACTCCTCTAATGGACACAAACTATTTAGCATTCATGAGACCAACTATAAGTTGATTATTTCAGAAGGGGAACACAGCTTGTGTAGAAAATCCAAAGTTCAATTCCTGATACAGTATCTCCATTTTTTTAAGGAATCATGCAGCAAATAATGCCTGATGACATGCCAGTCAATGGAAATAGTATTTATTAATTTCATTAGATGTGTTTCTACATCATAATTTCTCATTACAAAGACTACCAAATCTTGGAGCCCACAAAAAAGAACCAGGACAAGTATAAAACAGCTTCATTTCC